ACAGGCGACAGGTTTTCCAAGGGGCCACAGCTCTGATGCAGCGGTGAGTTACCTTGAGATGAAAACGTCCCAGGCGCTGAGCCAAAATTGGAGGAGCAGCATATGAAGCAGGCCCAATGGAATCACAGAGGAAGTGGCTGACTTAAGGCCGAGCTCCAGGTGGCTGAGCAGCAGTGACCTGTAAGCGATGAGTTTCTGTTCTGATCTAGCCAACATAAGCCATTCGTTGAGGTAATTCATAATAAGGGTTCCCATCTGTCTTAGAGGGGAGAGAGCCACGTCCAGCCATTTGTAAAAGTGCATGGAGCCAGAGACAGTCTGAATGGTAGGACTCTATATTGATAAGACACCCTCCCAAACGCAAATTTCAAGAACGGTCTGTGATGAAAGGCTATCTGGATGTGAAAGTAAGCATCTTTCAGATCCAATGATAAAAACCAGTCCTTGGGGCATATTTGCGTGAGGATCTGCTTGAAAGTCAGCATCTTGAATATCCGTTTCATAAGCGCGCATTTCAGATGCCTTAGATCGTGGATGCCTTGGATCATTTACTGCAGAAATCGCACACTGTAAAGTGATGAAACTATGGCACCATGTGCTTTTTAAAACCACTTTCATAAGTTTAACGTTATATAATATTCTAATATTGAGTTAATACATATTAAAAACACAAACCAGCACATTCTTACCTGTGAAAGTTTATCCAGTTTCTTCAGGAATTTAAATTTCGGTGCTTTCTACAATCAGAGGCTGTGCAATGTTGTGGCATCTTGAAACTCATTGATTTTTATTGTGAGTGATGACACAATGACCGTTCCAAGATGGCGGACGCGTCGACATGTCTGAAGAGGTTGAATGTGGCATCAACCTATATCCAAAGCTGCATCCCAAATGACCCACATATACACTATGTACTTATGCACTATGTATTCAATCATGTAGTGAATTAATTATATAAGGTTATTTTGTCATTCATAATCAGAGTCTGATAGCGCCTCCTCCTTCGCTACATAATTAAAGCTGCTAGTTGAGTGCATGAAGTGTCCAACATTCCACACTTCATTTTTTCGGTTATTTAAGTGCATCATTCGAGTATTTAAAATGCACGTTTTCTTTTTGGAATTTTCAGTGAACGCACTACTCACACTATTTATACAAATTTATACTACATAGAATAGTGCATAAGTACGCGTTTTGGGACACACCTTATGATCTGGGCTGAAGTAGTAGGTCATCCGGGTACTTTTTGCATACTGTTTTTACGAATACTGTGAATTCGGACATACTACTCTTTTGGCGTACTGTTTTTCGCATATTAGGCTATATAGTAGGGAAGTATAGATTTCGGACGCAGCGAGCGTTTCATGTTGACTGTAAGCAGCTGGAGTTGAATTAACAACAAATAGAACATGAAGCATGAGGAATATCAATGTGTTTACATTTAATTAAATCAAAGGATTACTGTTCCTTTAAACTAATGCTTGGAATGCCATAGTGACGGAAAAATCAGAGAGAACACTGTGAAACAGTATATTTAGTTTAGTTATATATTTAGAAACAGTATATTTAGTATATATTTAGTTTATCCACCCTGAAAACAGACAGTCACATCATGATTTGAATCACACAATCGGACACACCGAACACATCCTGTGAGACTGTGAGTGTGCGCCACATCTTGTCAGATGAACAAAACAATGGCTTGATTTCCCAGTCCCGGTCACCATCAGCTCAAGCTCTGGCTGTAGATTCCATGGTTACCATTACCCCTGAGACTCTTTGCTTGTTATTCTGTCATTTATACAGCCAGCAGCCGCAATGTAAATATCTTCTGACACAGATGATCTGCCAGTCTGATAAAATACCTGTCGCAGGTGTCAAGCGATGGCTTTTTGAAGACATTGTCTTCACGCATGGCAAATATTACAGAAAGGCTCATTATATGTTGAGCGGTGACACTAATGGGATGTGGATGTTACCGTGGAGATGAGCATTACCTCATCCTACTGGTTATAATGGAAATTGTCGGATAGTGTCACAATGGGATGGGGAAATAACCACAACCCCCTGAAGCTCATTTATGTAATATTCATGTTTTATGTCATATCCTCCTGAGGAAAACTACATTTATTTCTGTTTAGTGCTCGTTTGTGTAATCAAGTTTCTTATCAGCGCGTCTGCAGATTCTGCAAGCACTGAATATGATGAGCATCAGGGGAAATGTAATGTTTCAATTTAGCTGACATTCGTGTTCCGATAATATTCACAGAGAGAATTCAGTTAAAAAGTTTCATTATGAAAAGGTCATTTCTGAATGGAGCCCATTTTAAAATTTTTAATTTTGGCTATAAATAGCACATTATAGGCCTACATCTTTTTCCTTCTACAGGTGAAAAATACTCTTTATGTCTGAATGCGCAAGCGAATCACAAAAACATTTCCAGGTCACAGTTCACCTCAAAAGAACGAAGATAAGAATATATTTTCACCCATTTTTAGGACCATGACTTTTTTTTTTTTTGCTGACATTTGTTTTCTGCATGACAATAATATAAAGAGAATTGACAATGACAATAATTCATGAATAGAATTAAATATTAATGCGACAATCTTTTAAATTCCCTGTACATGTATGAAAAATGTCAGATAAAAAATGTGAAAAAATATACCCAGTGAAACTAATAACATTTAAAACTTTTAATTTATAAATAGCACAATTATGTTGCTCAGTCGTGTTTCTCCTTGTACAAGTGAAAAATACACATTCTGAATATCGGTGTATTTAATTCATTTACCATTACTGAAACAAAAAATACATTCAGATAAATCTAAAGTCTTACAGTAAAACTATTAAAAGTGTACATGTCATGTAAACACTCTCTTGTCTCTCACACTCAGTTTCTATGAAAAATGACTTTAGTCTGTTTGAGCACGTGATTTATACAGGCAAAGTCTTCAATAAAAGCCCACAAATACTGTAACATGCATGTCTGTGTGTGTGTTTGGGTGAATCTCACAAAACCTGACAAGAATATGTCTGGGTCATTTACCATACATCAAAATCAAAAGAAAAAAAAAAATGAAATCATATTTTGTGCATTAACATGTAAAACTGTAACGCCCCTGTGGACTGTTTGTTGTGGTTTCTTCTCTTTGTGTTGGTTTAGCCCGTCTAATCATTAGTTAATCACCGTCATTGTGACAGAATAACCGACCTAAAACAACAACATGGAGATCGCTGCTCGTTTCCTCACCATATCCCGCCGGGATCTCCTATATAATTTTTTCTCTCTCTCTCTCTTTTGATGTTTGGGTGAAATATGTTTTTGTTGTGAGATTCGCCTGTGTGTGTGTGTGTTCTTGTGTTAATTAGACAGCCTGTACGGCGTGAAGAAGAGGAAATGTTTACGCACCTTCTCACTGTTACTGCGCATCTGACTCATTTAACTGTTTAAAATAGTTTTATATTAAATCATACCATAACTGTCAACATCACAGTGTTTTTATCTATTCTTCTCCTTTTCTCTGTATGTTTCTCTCTTGTGAGATATGATCTCAGAACAGGAAATGACTCTTAAGGGAGGCGATGTCCCAGAATGCACTGCATACCTGCTTTGAGCCTTTTACCCTCGTAGTCTCCATTTGTCTCTCCTCTCAGTTTGTCTCATCTCTCACTCTCTCTCCTGGAAGTTGTTCAGTATTTGAGTGAATTCACATCAGTTCATCATTCACGGATCACAGTCCTGTTCACTCATTTCCTCCAGAAAAGAGTTGAATCAAACCAACCAGCTCTGAGATAACTCATTTTGATTGGACTGATGATGTAATCGAATCAGTCTGGGGAACTAAAGCTGTTTTATTATCAGAAAACATTACTACTCCTATTTTTTATTTTTTTTTGCTTCAATGCAGCAACATCCTATATTAACTATCATTACAAATGTCTGAATGTGATTCATTAGATCATGTGTGTCTGTATCAGTGCATCTAGGATCTTTTCACTAATGTTCATTTTCTTTATTCTCAGCTGGTGTTTTGGTGATGTTCAGTGGATGTATGAAATCAGTTCTATGGAAGCTTGACAGAATAACAATAAGTAAAAAAAAAAAAAAAAAGGTAATTGCAACTTTTTATCTCATAATTATGATGTTTTTATGTTTTAAAGAATTGCAAGATATAAGCTTGAGATGTTAAGTCGCAATTCTGAGAAGAAAAGTCCGAATTGTGAGACTCACAACTCACAATTGTGAGGAAAAAAGTAAAGCTTGTTTCCACCATGGAATAAGAACATATAGTAATTGCGACTTTATATGTCATAATTCAGACTTTTCTTCTCAAAATAGGTAGCTTATATCTCACAATTGGGAGAATCTCATAGTTCAAACTTTTTTCTCACAATTGCTATAGCTTATATCTCACAATTCAGACTTGACTTCTCAGAATTGGTAGCTTATATCTCATAATTTGGACTTTTCTTCTCAGAATAGGTCGTTGATATCTCGCAATTGTAAGAATATAATTCAAACTTTTTTTCTTGCAATTACCAGTTTATATCTCACAATTCAGACTTTTCTTCTCAGAATTGCAAATAGAATTGCCCACAATTAAAAAAAAAAACAAAAACATTTTCAATTAATTTATGACTTTAGTTCATTTCAGAATTGCAAGAGACTGAATTGTGAGATAAAAAAAAAATTTATTCCATAGAAGAATTCACACAGATTTGAGATAATCTCATTAACTAGCACCATCATCCACTAACCACAAACAAGCAAACAAACACAATACTGTCTGTCTTAATTTTTAACACTAGATCTACTGTTTTATCATCTCAAACCGCACACACATCTGTCTGTACGCTGTTTTGCTTGTAAAGTGTACATGTGCACCTTTTGTATGCATTTTGTATCTAATGAATGACATTCAGACATTTTTTAAGAGTCTTAAGTGTCATACTGCTCCTAAACTACCGTCTCTGTCTCTCGGTCTGTCTGTCTGTCTCAAGGTTGTTTCTTGGCGTTCCTGCCGAACTTGTCGCTGAGTTGTTGAATGAGGTCAGCCAGTTCTCCAGTGGCCTGAGATTTCTCTTCCAGAAGTTCGTAGCGCAGACTGGAGATGTCCTGTTTTATTTCCTTCAGTTCACCTGTAACACACAGGGCTTGAGTTACTCATACTGTAGATAAGCAGATTTTTACAAGACAGATGATTTGAGCTGACCGTCTGGGGTGAAATATAAGAGACAACAGTAAATTTACTGGGTTTGTACCTTCATTGACTTCATCATTCTCTCTGTCAACCTGAGCCTTCAAAACATAGCGCTTAATCAAGCGCTTCATTATCTTCTGTTAAAAAGAAAGACAGACAGAAATGAGGGAGAAAGAGCTTGTCCGTTCAAACTGACTGCATACAGAGATCATAATGAACTCTCTTCAGTTTCATATGGTTTGCAGTGGCGGCTCATCGGGGGAGGCAGGGGAGGCACAGCTTCCCCATAATTTTGAGGTGAAAATGGGAGGA